AAAATCCTTTAGGCCTTTGTCTAAGCCAGCACATCAAAACTCAGGCCTACTTTAAAACTTCCTGGCCTGCACTGAGGTGTAGGTTAGCAGACCTGTGAGAACAGGATTGTGGTGTGATGGTGGGGTGGGGTGGAGGAAACAGTGCATGGATTAGAGATTGGTTATATTATATCAAATAAAAAACAGTGAGGATAATAGGAGCCAAGTTTCTTACTGTCTGAAAAGGTATTTACAAATTGTAGCATAGAAGAAGGGTAGAAAGAATGAGATGCTGGGTTGCAGAGATACACACACACACACACACACACATACAGGATATAAAAATAGTTATAGGGGTCCAAGATGGCGACGGGTCTGGAGCGGCCGTGCCAGGAGACAGCGCGATCCTGAGAGTGGTGCGCTGTGATACCAGAGTATTAATTGCACTTCCAAGAGCAACAAAAGGCGAATAATTCTNTGAAAACAGGTATAATCAGATACACAGGTAGAGACCCATGAGTATAGTATGAAAAGGCAAAACCCCCCCCCCAAAAAAAACAAAAGAGCGGAGAGTTTCTAGATGCACAGAATCTCTACATAATATGAAATGGAAGGCTCATGGAAGGGCTGTATTCAGTACAATCTGAAAAGAACTACTTGGAAAAACTCCACACCCAAGTCTTTATCAGTGATCACCAATGTATAACCTTAACTTCATTAAGCGTAAATACTGTGCAAAACACAAAATGGCCTATCAACTTATAGTCCTTCTGATTCATGTGCAATCTCAGAGATGATGTGACCTAAGTAAGAAAATCATATCTCAGGATTTCCTCCTAGAGGCATACTGCCACAGACTATGTGCACTTACGTTCCCAACACCACACCTGAACTGTCATCAGATGATCATCAGTTCATCTCCATCCTCATGGCAAATACACACTTTCAGTTTAGTAAGTTCTAGCTATAAATTCACCTTGCTATATTTAGCATATTTAAAATAATGTCATGAACAAAACACTGTAAACAGCATCAAAAAAGAAAAATTGTAAGCCAGTGATAACTAATTAGATTACAACAAAATCCTCAGAATGATAACAGGGCAAATAAACAGTAGTGGCCAGTGACAGACCACCTTTCAAATAGAGAAAATAGAAACCTGAAGAAAAGAAAAAAGTTTGATTTCTCCACCTTAAATAACTGACTTCAAAGTATGATTGTACTGGTACTTTTTAAAGACCGAAATTTATTTTATTTTATTACTTACTGCTACTTTCATCTCCATACTTGTAAATGCAGGTT